AAAAAAAAGGCAATTCACAAAGTATACATTTCTGTTCAGAAACAGCACAATATTTATTTAACATCTTTATATATTTATATATATAATTTTTTTCTGCATTGCAGATTGTGTCGAGTTTTATACATCTCTATATACAGTGATTTAAAATAATTATATTTCATCTCTGGCAGGTATTTACAAAGTCAATAGTAACTACATTTCACATTTCAACAACAGTCAACAGCATCAACCAGCTCAGTAAGACAGTTAAGATAATGGCTTACATGCACCAATAAATGATCTTCAATACGTGCCATCTTCAAGTCTAAGAATGAAGATTTTCCCTGGTCCCAGGTTAAAGGACATCATACAGCAGAGGTCGCGGTTATTAAAAACCCGTTCGGTTTAGTCCTTCACCAGTACCGAATCTTGAACGTCTGGGGTTCATACCAGGACGCGGGGCTATCCTGGTGAAGAGAGGCTCACACCACCAATCCATGTCCTTTCGCCTAGCCTGTCTGTCCACAAGAAGTGGGATACTTGCTGCTTATGCTCCTTCTATGACAGAGATAAGATTTCATAATGCTAAAGTAGTAAAAATCCTCAGAAACCTTAGTTCAGAGAAACAAACCTGGTATGACAGAAAAAAGTAAGAAAATAATCTTTTAACCCTTGCAGAACGTTTCTTTTTGCTAGTAAAATTGACAGCATATCCTGTATTCTTACAAGGACGAAAACAGATCAAAAGATTTATTGTAAAGTACAGGAACTACAAATTTAAAAAATGCAGCATGGGGTACCTCAATTTAGTCGTTGGGTTTTTTTCATAGCAAATAAAAGCTACCATAGTAAATCTAAAATGTATTAAGAGTATCTGATTTAATTATTAAAAATCTTTATTAGCTTTTTCCTGGAATCTTCGATATGGAAAAAATGTTAAATGACTCAATTTTATTTAATCATATGGTGGTTTTCCATAAATAACCAGCTAGTAATATCCATCCCAAAAGCATTCACTATCTGCAAGAAAACAGTAAGAAATCTTGTTTCAAAGTAATCATTGAACACTGGCACACAAAAACACACAGACACACCCCAGTACTAGGAAGCTATTAATACTTGGACAAGTTGGTTTATCCTGAGTGATTGTTAACTCACATCTACTGTATACTTGAAGCCACAAAGTTTTTACTACTTGCATTTTTCATAAACTAATAACATGAAAGTCTAGCACAACAATAATAACTGCCTGAACAGAAAGAACAGTGTCAATAGCCAGTATTTCTGTCGCTCCCAGGCCCTCCTGGACCATTTTAGAACAAAAGGTAAAAGGTTGCTTCATTCATACTATCTTTTCTGTTTTGTGATCAGTTCTGGGGAGGACGAGGACTCAAACACACAGGATCCGCTACCGATTTGTGAGGAAGTTTCCATGACAAAGCACCACAGAGTCACTTTACTAGGAGATACTCCTAAACAGAAGTCTCCCCTGACCATTTTACCCTCTAAAATCAAAAACCTGTGTGAATTCTCTACCACATTTTAATGAGTGATTAATCATCTTTTCAAGAGTCAAAATTTAAATTGCTTTAAAGAGTTCTATCAGAATGCAAAGATACTCCACTCTAAATTGCTTACACCTCACCAACTGTAAAACACTGGGAGCTCACGACCAAGTAATCGGTTAATAAAACTTGATCTCATCACTTTGCTCATCATGCACAAGCTAAAATGTAGGGCAAGGTTTTACTGTACAGACACAAAGTTTTACTATACATCTGTTCCCATCAACAGCTCCTCACAGGAATAGCTTAGTAATTCTTTGTGATAGGAGGGATAATTAATGGACCCATTTTAAATTCATTTGGTCCCTCAGATACTACCTTTGGTAAAATCTGATGAACACAGTTAAGAAAAAAAATAAGGGGAGGGCAAAGCCTAGAGAAAAATAAATAAAGGAATGGAAGCAAAAATAGTAATTTTTTCATTAAACCTCAAATACAGACAAATAACATGGGACAAATTTTTACTAAATCCATTTCTGGAAGCTGTAAGGTACCCTTAGACTTCTACAGCTTGCTTCTGAACTTCTAATGTCACAGGCCTTGACCCTTGCCAAACTTACTAGACAAGTTTATCTGAAATGGCTAGCTGTTATATTTTGAAATCTTGTTCCAAGATTTGTTTTATTTTAAAATTTCATAATGACTATGTGGAAATCCTCATACATATCAGTCTTGCAAAATCCACTTACTGCTTGTTTTCAGGAACTAGTGACAAACCAAGTTGCTCACAGCTCTCCATCGTCTTCCACCACCGCGTAAGAGGCAGGTGAGTATTTTGGCTCTTCAGCTGGTCATGACATGCAAATTTTGAAAGACTGATACATGTATTCACTAACACAACACCCATGTTGTGATCTGTTACCCTGAATCACCTACAGAAAAGCTTTCCACAGCAAAGTTTATCCGAATGCCAGTGGGAAAACAAACTAAAAAATAATCAAGAGAGATTAAGGCCCATATGCTAGAAATAAACAGCATTTAAAATACTGAAGAAAATATAAAATATTGAACAATTGGATATAAACCAAGAATGCAATGCAAGTACCGAGGATCTGGCTTCTTTGCTTATCATGCTTGGAAAGGAGTGGTATTTTGCAACTTTAGTGCTGTAATTATCCTAAACAAGACATTTAAATAAATTTTTAAAAGGGGCATGTTTACTCTTCTGATGCAAACTATTCCTATGATGTAAATTGTTGTTACAAATGAGACCTAGCTAATGGCTTTAATGCTATATTAAACATGCCAAGGTAACAATATCTTTGGCAATGAGAGAATTGCAGAATTTAAGGATGAGATTATTAGATTTACTAACATCAGAAATATCTTTTTGTGTGCAGTACATACATTTCATTCAAACATGTTCCATTATATTTTCCACACCTCCTCCAGGATTATGAGTACAGTACCTAGTCTATACTGCTTGATTTTTATGATTTTACTCAAAAAATTATTCTTGGTTCTCACTTAGTCTTCAAATTAATGTAAATTTGTAAGCCAAGATAAACAAAAATTTCTGGTTTGTGACCAAAGTTAAAATGCTGAACACTTAAAAGAGATAGCCATTGGTTCATGATAAAATAGGACAAGTTTAAACTCTTAGGTTAAAATACAGCCATAGCATAAAATTATCTATTCCAAAATTAATTTTTCAAAATATAATTCTCTGAACATGTTATACATTAAATATTGAGGAAAATTTCCCTGGAGCTAAAATTTTCCAACACTAATAATCTTCATTAAAGAAGTAAAACAAACCACATAGTATCTGGAAACAAAAAGGGGTTAGAGTTGGGGTCACCTTACTACAGAGTAGCTTTACCACCATTAAGATGCAGGTTCCCCCCTTAATCTTGAAAAATATGTTCATATTTACATACAGTATACACACAGTTGAGGCAATTGATTGTCAACACGTGACAAATGTATGTACCTACCCACACACAAGTAAACCTCACATGGTGAGAAAAAACCCTGTCCCAGTAAACTCCAGTATTCATAAGTAGTGCAAATAAATACTTTGTCAGAAAACATTTTTTTCCTCACTATTTTGATGTTAAAACAGATAATTTTAATTATGTTAAAGCTAGCAGGAGTATGTTGGAAATGTTGTATTTAAGACCAACACACTTGCAAACTACAAATACTAGATCTAATGCTTACTGGCTGCAACATGATGTTCAGTATTACAGAATGAAGTATGCTGTTAAAAAACTTTTCCAAATTCACATCAGAAAGGGTGTTCAAAGAAATCTGCATTTAAAATGGACAGTGACATACGAAGTCTCCAAATGAAAACTAAAAGGATAATATAGCAATTTAAACTGTCATCTTGCAACATTCATTTTAATAGGTATTTTTACTTCATCACTTTGCTGCCTGCAGGATGAAAAAATGGCTCATCATTCAACCAAAAAGCTGTTCACAATAAACCCCTGAAAAGGATAATCAAGCTGGAGTTAGCAATCCCAGCATTTTATATTTTCCTCTAAAATTATAAAGCCCAACAAAAATGAGTTGCAAAATGGCAGCATAGTGTGATGTGGTAAAAACTGTATCAAGGAATAATTAATTTATCCCTACTTACATGTGTATATATACATCAAAATATAGTACCCACACTTCCTCACCTAAGAATTACATGTATGTGCGTGCATGTGCACATACACAGGGAAAAATCGTCGTGTTCTGCTTTTTGACCTTCTTTTATAATGCTGCAGTTGCACTGAAATACCACAGAAATCTAAATCTAGTGCCTCATGTCAAGTACCAAATGTTCTAAAACAAGACACAGCAGAGTGTGTCAGGATAAAGAGATTTAAGTCTAAATATTTGTCACAGGTGTCAGAAAATTTAAGTATGTTTTGTACTTTGTTTAGTACTTAGCATATATAATCAGAAAGCCAGTAGATTATTCCCTCAACCCATATCCCAGACACTTCTAATTTTATTTATGCCACAGTACTTTGAAGTGTACTGAACTTCAGTGTATAAAGTTTCATATGATCTTAACGCACCCTGGCATAGTTTGAGACACATCTAGAAGCAATAATGATAAACATGATACACAGCACTGGCAAAGCCTGTTATTACAGCTGTTTTGTAGATATTAGTGATGACTCATTTTGTAAGATAGATGTTGAACAGTACTTGTCTGAAAAACGACAAAACAAGCTCCCACAACTGAAACATTGCACTAAAAAGGTAATTTTGAGGTTATAGATGTACCACAACAGCACATAGCAAAAAAGATTTTTTACAGGGATAAATTTGAACTCTTTAAAAAGCCTTATATGGGGTAGATATATATACACAAGAATAAACCAAAATACAATGGATGAAATGATAACAAAAGGCACATCATCAAAATGAGAACTGTAAAAATATCTTAAAAGGTAGTTTGACTAAAGGATTAACCAATTCGAATTTATGCATGTACATTTGACTTCCCTATCTGAAGTCACGGAGCTGCCTCACCTTCCTGAAATAGTTTAATAGTGCGGGACTCTACACATAAGAATATTAAAAAAAAAAAAAAAAAAAAAAATGCGCTGAAAAATTTTTTTAAATTAAAAAAAAAAAAAAAAAAAAAAAAAAATGTTTGTAAAATTTGGCCTGATGCCAATTTAAGTGTCCTAAAACTTCCCAAGGAATGCCTATAATGGCAAGTGCAGAAAGTAGAGAACCTTGTCAATGAACAACTCTACTTTTTAAAATACTGAAATAAAGTAATTCTTAAAAAATTAGCTGACACTCCTGACCTTCTCTTTCCCAAAGATTTATGCAAATTATTTGGTCCTTTTCAATTTACAGTGATGGCTCTTTAATAGAATCTCCTTTGTGATGGTCTCTACAAAATATAAACTTTGTACCTTCAGCCACAACCAATTGTCTCCACTAGCAAAACTTTATAAAATAAAGTTTAACCATACACAGCTTTTGACATTTTTACAGAAAATGCCTTGTAGCTTAATCTCAACTTTGCCTTAGTTCCGTCTGTGTGTGACTGGTGGTCCTTAAAGATTAACTTCAATTTAGAAACTGTAAGGTTTTCTTTCTTTCTGATGATACTATTTACTCTTTAACTGAATTTCTGCATCAGTCCAGATGCCGTTTAATTCACTTTATGAATGTAAGATATGAAGACTAGACTACCCAAGTGACTTGTCAAACCACAAAAAACCTTCAAATATTTAAATGAATTTTGATATAAATTTGAAAAAAAAGTTCTATTTGAAATAAAGAGATTCAAAAGCAAAAAAACCCCAAACACCCAAAAACCAAAACCAAGTACCAGCAATGCAACACCTTGTCATTGTCCTGAATTTCTTAAAGACTATCATTCAAAGATAGCCTGCTATTTGTAACTGCTTATGTTTATCCTTCACAGTGACAGTGAAACCAAAGTGCCCACATAAAGATCGTAACTCTTTCCTGTGGGTTTACAATTTGTAAACTTCCAGGATATCATACATGACTTAAGCATAGAGGATGAACTTTCCCCTTTTCTCTCTATCAATCCAAAATGAGATAGAGAGAGATGGAGAGAGAATGACAAACATTTTCCTGTGTAACCAGAAATGTGCTTCTAAGCAGTGTTCTCTAGCGTAAGTACCAGCCAGTGCGCGTATACCAGTCATATACATTCAAGGCTTGGCTCAATGGCATGAATTCCGAATTTTCTAGAGTAGGGCCAATCCACTGAAATAAGAGTTAAAAAAACTGAACAGATTATAAATACCAAGGCAATGAAGTATGATCCTTCTGGGGAAAAAAGGACTGTCAGTACCCCTTTGCACAAACAGTATTTCTAGAAAAGCATTTCACATTGAAGCTTCAGTGTTTCTAGCAAACTATTGTCTCTATCCCTGAGACAGCCCCTTAAGAGTATGGTCTGTCTGGACTGCAGGATTCTTCAAATGACTCCATGATTGAATTCAGGGACACTGAGAAAGCAGCTGGGAGGGGCGGGGGGGGGCCAACAGGCATGATACCATAGAAAGCAGCCTGAGAAATACTCTTTACCCAAATACACCTTTCAATTCAGTGATCAGCACCTCTCAAGAACAACAACAAAAATGGAGCAGAGCTAGCCATTAGTTCCTGGGAAAGTAGTGTTTCCCTCCCACTTACAAACCAAATTGCTTTAACAGCATGGTGTTGTCTAAATTTTAGTCTATATGCAGAATGACCCTGTGCCCTGGAGGGGAAGACATGTAACATTACATATGGCTACAACGCCATTAGAAGTGCATTGTAACCTACATTATCTACTTAGAATCCTCTCTCTGAGGGAAAGCAACTTGGTAATATGCATGTCTCACTTGTTGAACATCAAAAGCTTCTGGGATGAAAGACTGGGGGCAGGCAAGAAAAAAATACCCTCATTTTAATGAAAAAAGTGCTGTAGGCAGCCAGGAGCAGCAATGACAATCCCCTCCCCAGAATTGATTGCACAGACTCAGAGAGGTCCAAAAGTCACACTAGAATCTCTGAGGCACTCCTGGTTCTGAGAAAGAAAAGTCATGATCCAGTAGTCTTTGCAGTACTGTAGACCGAGAAAACAAACCCGTTTCTATTTCTTAACAAAGCCAAAGCATCATCTCATAGGGATCACATTCACCATTTCCGCCGGTGTCTCCAGTCTCACAGTGTTGAAATGGGACTGATCAGCCTACGATGGATTGCACATCACCCAAGGAGAAAGGAAGGCATGGAAAAAGGCATACAGTACATTATATACTGCTTCACAACCATATTTACAAGGGGGGGGGGGGGGGGGGGGGGGGGGGGGGGGGTGGGGAGGATGTCCCACCTGGGGGAAGGCTGTCTCCTGCCTGGGATGGGGAGGGGGGGGGGGGGGGGGGGGGGGAGATGAAGGTGAGGGAAGAATTATTGCTGTTTCAGTAATACAGTATGATAGCTAAACCAAATCAAACAAGATCACAACAGTCAGTATTTTCACACTGCGGGATGATGGTTCATGTTTTGCCTAAGGATGAACTTGCCTGGGGATTAAGGGGAAAGAGGGAGTCCTAAGGAAGGGAGTCAAAGTTACACCTGGGATATCAGCTGCATATTGAAACTTGGAGATCGAGACTGCTTGGTTAGGGGAGCTCCTGGGGGAAGGAGATCTTTACCTTCCCCAGCTTGGCCTAGTCGGTCCTCCTGTAGGCTGATAGTTGAAAACCGATTGGTGTTGCCAGCTGCTAGATTAGTAACACCCTCTGTACCAGCTCCAACGCTGGAGCCTGCTTGACTGCCATTCACATAGTCAAATGATTTACTGGAGGAAGCACTGGCGGTCCTGATCAGGCTCAAACTGTTGGCTTTTGGCACCACCTGCCCAGCAGGCAGGCTGAGGTGTTTCTTAGTAGGTGTCATCTCAATTATATCTGCACCAAGGTCAGTGGATTGGTGCATGTACTGCTTCCGAGCTACTGAATCTCGAGGGCTCTCATTGGATTTTGCTGCAGAAGAGGTTTCCTTATCCTTAGCAGAACGCCCACTTGCTGTTTTCCTTAAGCTGCCCTTTTGGGATACAGATGATAGAGGTTTGGTCCCAACTGGCTGGCTGCTGAGGGAAGCTCCTGATGAAAATCCTTCATCAGCATCATTAAGGTTCACGGATTCCTCTCTTCCATTTACACCTTCAGCATCTATTAAGAAAAAAGAAACAACCAAAAAAACCCCCGAACCAATCAGAACACACAGTAAACATTCAAGTTACATGAAGACAAAGATGGGCAGAGAATGTCAAAACAAACCTCATTTGCTAATCCACCTGCCTTCCACTTGCTTTAAAATTTCTGATTCTCAGCCAATAATCTTCCTGTCATATTTAGCAGAATAACGGAATCTAGCAGTAAGTACTCCCTGAGCTTGATTTGCCTTTCCTCTACCTCACTTTTATCAGTCAGAATATCTCCCAAACTTTGTCTATAAACAAGAAGAATTTGGTTAATTCGTTTTAGTTCTGCCTGAAGATACTGGTGCCCATTCTCATCCTACATGTGTTTTTTTTTTTAAAAAAAAAAAAAAAAAAAAGCCTTTCAGACTATTTTTATCCTATTTTGAGGCAAGATCTAAGCATGTTCAGGATCTCTTCCAGTCAGAGTAAGTTCTGGAGAGTGCTCAGTAAGCTTCAGAGTTAGGCTACTTCCTAGGCCAGCAATCACAATGCTCCAACAGAGGTAGAAGGCTTCTGTTGTGTGTAGCTGGCACTTCAAACAATGTGATTATACTTTCTGTTGGAGATTAACCTAATTCCTAGTTCTGTCTCCTCCAGGGCTCAATCCTCCCTGCATTTCCAGCAATCCTATCTAGGTGCTTCCACCATATTTGCTTTTATCTCAGCATCTAGATTTTTCAGAGAAAAAAAAACAACCAACCCTTGTATTAAGAGAAGTTTAACCTCTGAAACACTTCATGTTGTAGAAGAGGCACTATGCTTTTGAGTGGAATGTCAAAGAGAAAAAAAGCCTGACAAATGTCTTTCTTAAATCCTTGTTTTCAGGCCTATAACATGATTAGGGCTGCACACAAAGACTTTTTTTTTTTTTTTAACATCTTATTCCAGTCTCTTTTTCTAAGCCCCAAGTACTCAAGAGTTATTGTTTCACTAGAAAACCCAACAGCATTCAAATTTCAAAACTGAAAATGGAGCTTGAGTTTTTGCTCCATATATCTCATTTCAATGGGAAAAAGCCATAAAGTTTAACCATGTTAGCAAAAAAGGAGACATTCAGGCTATAAGAATTTTGCTTTTCTTTATAAAAGCTGTGGAGCCTGATTATTTGTGAGAAATCTGCAAAGCCTATGGATCTGTCCCAGCTAAAACCACTGTACTGCTCTACTGGCAGTTTGTTCAGCCCAGCTCGCCGCTAAGCAAACATGTTTAAATCTCTCTTGTGGAATGGGGAAAAAGTGGTGGCAAGGATCTAAGAGATTCTAACATGTGAGTGGAAGCTCATCCTTTCATGCTGACTGTTAGCAGAGCACTAAGGAACATTTTACATTATGGCAAGCAGAACAGACACAGAAAGCTTTCAGTGTTGTTGCTGCCTCTGTGTAGCAGGAATATAGCCTGATCCAACTTGACATTTCTGAAGTGTAAAGCAAAAAGAAAACTTTACAGGGAGGTTTTATTATTCTGTTTTAAACTTACTACTTCTTTTCAGGAATCTTTGCCTTGGAATTACCATTACTGTGTATCAGCTTACAAGAGACATTTAGCCATCTTCAAATCAGATCATTCTCAGGCCTCTCTCAGAACAATGCAATGTGAGATTATTCTGTAGTTTTATATAGTTCTATTTGACTCATTAGCCTCCCAGAAGCAGAAAGGTAATACAGTTCATGTTACTGCAGTCTTCCTTCCTTGGTAAAGCCTTTAGCCTTAGAAAAAGAAGCTTCTTAGGTTTCAAGGGCTATTATTAAAATGAAGGATGTGTTACTTGCTTTAACTTCCTGTAACCATATTTAAAATACATATACTTTCCCCCACTCCTGCCCACCCTGTTTGGTCAAACTAGGCCTTCATCTTCTCATTGAGACATAAGTGTATTTTCTTACATTAGACAGAGATATATTTTATTTACAATCCACCACATCTCCACCCCCCC